ACATTGGATCTTAGCTGGCCCACAGCAGGACGAAGAAACAGGTACACACGTAGTGTGTTTTGTTTAGTGCGCAGTCAAGTAGCAATTCATGATCTTGTCACATTGGTACCTTTTAAACCAATTCCCCATCTACCTTTCAAAATGCATCCTATCTCCTTCGTTTTTTGTCGCACGATCGATCAGACCAGTCATGCGAAGCTGGTAAACGTGGGTGCAATAAGGTTTAGCAAGTGGGTTAGGCGGTGTGAGCAGATATGTGGTGCTCTTGCTTCTTATCTAGTAGCGCAATTGCCACGTGATTATGTTGACGGCTAACAGAGCTGCGAGGCAGTCAGAGGCAGTGTTCCTGTTGGTCTTAGGATTTTCCTTTTTGTAATAGGCGATACCTCCATTCCCCTTTAAAACATATCTTAGAATTTCACTTTCATATTTCATGTGATATGCCAGCAACCCTATTTATGACATCCTGGAAGGGAGGTTTGAGCAAGCGTTTAGTCAAGAGTTTGAGACAGAATAAAAATATTTCTGGTGAGGATTGCTTTTACAGTTCTGCGAGTGCTGCAAGCAAATTTCCTAAATTTGTAAATGATTGATTATTTCTGCCATACCAGCGGGAACTCATTTATGAAAACTTATAACTAATAATGAGCAACATTAGGCATAGTAAGTACTTAAAAGAACTATAAGAAGTAACAAGTGTTTGTTAAGAAAATTAACATTTTCTCGATAATTCCCACCTTTTGGAGACGTCAAAAATAGCTATAAATTAGAACAATAAATTTACGTAGTTTGTTAAGTATAAAACTTAAAACAACCACTTTCTTTATACGAAAAAAACTTGCCTCTAGTCGAAATATTTTGTATATTTGAGAATGATTACATTCGTAGTTATTGAGTATCGTTGAATAAATTCTCTCTTCATTTCGGTATTTTTTGCTGTATTCATGGATCACTTTACTAATTGTTCGTTTGTTTGACGTTTACATCAAATTCTTTAAAATAAGATATAACTAAACAGCATTTACCGAAAAAAAATGAGCTTTCGGATATTATTTCCTATGCAAATGACCATGATGTTCAAATTTGGAAATGTCTAAAAACAACAGTCCACATTTTCGCGCATATTTTTATTCCTAAGATTAATTAAAACAGTTTCTAGAATAGGTTACCTCTTTAAAAATGCCTTTATTGGATATTTAGCTGACGAACCTTTGCGTATATTCACTTTTTCCAAGATAATCTCACAGGGATATTGGGGAAGTTGGACAATTTCTTTAAATTATCTGAAGGAAAACGATTAATTTGACTGGAGATGAAAGAACATACCTTTCTCTTTATAACGGATAATTTTCCGCTTAGGGAGATTAATACGAGATCCGTAATAAATGGGCGAATGCAAAAAAAACAGGCCACATATATGACCATTTTTTGAAATACTTAT